ACGAGAGGGGACATGGCAAGACAACTAAAGCTGCACCAACATGGCAACATTTTGGATTTGAAGCCGACGAGAGCAGTGTCCTAACTAACTGCAAGCGAAGCAGCGCTGCCGTTGTGACCCAAAGTTTTGTTGGGCGCTGTGTTCATATTTATAACTGTTGCTTGCTTTGAAAACTACGTATTGGACAAGGAAAGGCTGATTCACGAAGTTAAGATGAGGAATTATGTACACGATACCTCCTTATTTCATTACAAAAACCTGAATAAGGCTGTCTGGAGAAAGATCACCAGGGAGCTTAGAGTTTTTGGTGAGCTAAACCATTGCTACTAATAAGCTACGCTTCTCGCTGTAGACTATATTGTATGTAATTTCCATTAGATATTACAGCACATGAAACAGAGCTCTGATGTTACGTGATGCGAGGCAATAGTCTGACGATCATTTGTCGTTGGGACACGGTGTCATGAAGTTCCACTTTGGAGCAGCAACACCTGGTAAAATTCTGTATACCTGTCCAGTCCGGTGTTCGGCTTAATATCAAACCAGTTTGAACATTTTTAAACCTGCCCAACCCTGCTAATAGCTTAAACATTAGCACTTACAACTTCCATGAACCATGTCTACAAAGGAAACATGATTAAAGCTTGATGAATATAACTACAATGCAGTCAATGCTATTACAAAAATAAATGAAATTAAAAAAATAAATACTCTCTTACCTCAAAATGATTTTTTTCCCTGATAACCTTGGCTGTTTCTGCCTTAGGGTGCTCATTGCTCACATGAGCGAACAGGACTAAACTAAGCATGTGCAGAGTGAATCAGGTGAATTCTAGTGGAAATAATGAAAGTGTTACAACCATCCCCGGTCTCCCCTTCATAGACAATATGCATGTATATTTAATAATGCAGTGACTAATATGCTTCTGTTAAAAATGGAAACCACCAAATGCGCTGCATGCACAATCATACAGCAACCAAAATCAAAAGGTTTCTTCCATGTGTGAGCTAATAGGAAATCACTGACTCACTAGCTAAATAACGGTAGTGAAACATTTATAACAGCTGAGAGATGGTGTCTGTTGTAACTGATGGTCCATACTATAATATGAGGGCAAGGTGACTTTCTTCCAAAAGCAGGTGACAGCCTACAGATATGTTAAGTAGATCAAAACTCCTATAGTCTGAGTCATGTATTTTATTTCCCCAATCTGTCCTCCTTATGAGACTCTGTTAAAAACTCTGTTATCCTGGCAACAGCCACCTGTCTGGTCTGATCTACACCACTCAATGTGTTGAATTCTGTACTAGTCATCGACAAGAGGCTTAGCGTTTCCTTACATTTGACTCAGCACAAGTATTATGACAATTCATCATTTGTTTAAGTATGATTTAGCTAAATTTGGAGTGGCAATAAAGCAAGATGGCCTGATACAATGTCATAACATATTTTATTCCTTAAACAATCTTAAAATTGGAAACAACATGCGCTTGTAAAATTGGGAAGTGTTGGGCAGATGCTGTTAGGGTTCATCACAAGCATCGACCTCTCTGTCAGATATTGCTACTGTTGCAGTAACAGGATCTGTTAACCAACAGGAAGAGACTTAACTATGATTAGAGCGTATAAATAAGAGTCTCAGCTCTGACTTCAGTAAGTGAAACTCCTCTTGCTGCATCAGTACACTTTGGTCACAAGGAGGCACTGTTGTCTTTTTGTGGCGTTAACTAACACTCACACAGAGAAGTGTACAGAGGCACTGAGAACATGGTGACAGAGCAACATTTTTTTATTTGAAAAGATGGTACAAAACAAACTTAGAGGCTCCTGTGCTCTCATTGGATCAAGCCATAAAGTAGATGCACAAAGCAGTAATATATTCAATGTATATAATGTTGTATATAAAAGCAGGATTACATACAGTATCTATTGTTAATATATTACATCTACAGCGTTGAGTTTACACTTAATTTTTTTATTTTAAGCCGTACTTAATTTGTGTGCCATTATTGTCATGCAAAAGTTCAGCCTTACCAAAACAAACAAACAAAAAAATTGCGTGTGCTTGAATTAAATTTGTAAGTTTCATGGAATATTCAAAGGTCTGAAGTCAAAATGCCATTTTCTTGAATTACCAAATTACATTTATACACATTCAGTCTTTTGACTTAAGTTGCCCAGCAAATGAAATCACTGTTTTTTAATACATTTTCCATTATTGAATCGACCCAGCTTCTGTAGTCAGGAATCTTAGTGTAACATTGGATTTGCAGGTCACCTGAGGATGGTGGCAAGATGCCGGACGTCACCCCGTATGCCTTTCCATCTTCACAGACCAGTGGAATACCAGCGTCTCCCTGGAAGTACATGTATAGTATGCAGTGATTGCTTCAATAGACAGTTAATTATTACAGTTGACAAACATTTGTTAGTCCATGTTATGTTAGAAAAATACGTACATAGAGTGGTCCAATCCTTCCCTCAGAGCAGTAAATATTTTCCTTAGCACACAGCGGATTGTTAATTAGTGTAACATTGACTTCCATGAGTTTGGAAGACATGTAAGGTATGTTCTCATCTGTACTTCCCCAGCCAGAGACTACACATGATTTTGGCTGTAAGCCATCACCCGGGCCTGCGAGAGCAATGGGTCTCACTTTGTCACTGAACTTTGCCTTGGAGCTCAACTTGAGAAACAGAGAGAGATAAAATCATATTTAAGATATATGAACATTCATATTCATATAATATTAAGTATTTTAATGCTCCTCTTGTTTAATGCATCCAGTAATATAATGTAAAACATAAATTGGAAATGACAAAAATAAATGAAAGGTAATTTTTGCTGTTAACTGCAAGAATTGTCTTACCTTAAGAAAAATTATGTCATTTTTAAAATTAGTTTTATCGTAGAATATATGTGGAAATGTTTGTTCCACAGATATACTCTGTACTCTTGTCTCGGACATCGTGAACTCCCAGTAGGACTTTGTAGGACCTGAAATTAAAACATTCAATGCAAAAAAAAAAGAGGAAAAATCTTAAAATTAAAGGTTTTTTTTTATTTATCTGAGGGCATTGTGTTCTTGAAATAGAAATATATAGATATTTGAATGTCATGATTATTGAAGCCATCATAAAATATACTTGTGAAATAGATATCATTTAATATTATTTATGTCTTAATACATGACACTAGGTTGTTGCTGAGATATATCTCATCATGGGCCCCAGCATTTCCACTGAGTAAACATAAAATGTGTTACACTAACCATCCTTGGCAGTGGGCTGCAGTCATCACAAAGTCCTCATTCAGAAGGAAGCCACCGCAGTATTTTTTTTTTACCATCCTGCATGTACTGCTCCAGAAGCACCATGTAGGGCCTGCTATGTGGCACCGCCTCTTCTGTATGAACTGATATCAATAATAAATATATTTATATATAAACTCACAAAATAAAACTGACCATTGATGTTATTGATGACCTTGAATTTGACTGACATAAACAGATCCATCCTCATGCATTGTGCCCTATGTCCCACTGTGTGCAATGCATTTCCTAATGTGCTGTAGTCTAAAGCGCATCTCTAACATCCAGGATAAAAAAAGGACACAGCTGTAAAATGCTTTTTAACTTACCTTGACCATCAAGAGTCAGGACAAGTATCAGTATTATGAGTTGGCAGTGGAAGAACATGGCGAGATCACAGTCCAGCTGAGCTGCCGAAAAGCAGTGGCTCACATCACTTACGAATTCAGTCTATACCTTGTACTACAGAGAGAAGGAAGTATTTTTGTAGGATGCATATGCAAATAATGTGGCTTTGAACCACATTTATGAGGAGGACGTCTCTGTCACCTCCAGAGCACGACAAAAGTTTGATTTTTATGGTTTAAGTCTAAGTTCTTTATACAACCTTTATTTAAGTACACAGAGTGTGGTGAATGTGGTAAACATACGCAATATGTAGCATTATACTTATGAATTAAAAAAAAAAAAGATATATTCATAATACATTTGGACAGTGGCACTTTTGACATCACAGTGGCATTAGAATTGTACATTTATGCACAAGAAACAGATGTGTGTGTGTGTGTTAAGTTTTGGTAGAGAAATGCGAATAGGCAACTGCGAACCCACATGAGGCTTTTTAAAAGTAAAAAAAATAAAATAAAAATACCCACAAGAACATACACAGAAGTACACGCGCACAAAATAGAAAATACCAGTGTGCCATTGTGGTGTTAAATGTGAGAACAATGTCGTTCTCTTGTGAGATATGGACTAACATCTGTCTGGCCAGCCATTGTTTCTGTCATAATAAAGGGAAAAGCTCAGCAATACTGCTGCTCAACTGAATGAAATAACAGATTATTAACCAGCCTGTTCTATTAAAAGTGCCTAAATACGCTCAAAGACAGTGGCCTCCTTATTTGGATGCTGATGTAAATTGGGTGTTTTCAAAATGGGTTTTCACTTTATCAGCATCAGTTAACATCAATAATGTGCATGTGTATTCAATAATGCAGTCATTAATATGTTATTATCCATTTAATTTCCCCAAACTGTCCTAGTATCAGCATGGCTTATAGACCTCTGCTATCCTGGGAAACTAAATGGAATGCAGGACGCTTATTCCATACGTACTTTTGTTTTAACACAAGACAACATGACTTGTTTTTTATAGCTAAATTTCTAGTATTTTTTATAGCTAAATCAAATGCAATCACAGGGTGTGTTAAATAACAGGCAGAGACTTGACTGTGTGTAGAGTTTATAAATAAGACAGTTTCTTTATTAGGTGAAACTCTTCCTGCTGCATCAGTACAGTTAGTACACAGGGAGGCAGCGTTGTCTTTTTTTTTCTTTCTTTTAATGTATGCTCAATGTGCACAGAGGTATTGAAAGCTGTTTATTATTTAAAAAGGTGGTATAAAACAAATGTAGGTGATCGTGTGTTCTCATTTGTTTGAGTCAAAAAAAAGAGCAGCGATGCATTTAATGTATATAAAGTTTTATTTCACAGCAGAATGATATACAGTATTGCAGTACATCTATTAGGCAGCATTAAGTCTGCATTTAAATGATGATCTGATTTTAAGCCAAACTTAAATTGCATGCAGTGATTGCCGTGTTACAGTCTAGCCCTGAAAAAAACCTGCATGTGTGTGGTTTAAATTTGTTGAGAATAATCAAAAGTTTATTGACAAAACATGTAGTTGTTAAGTTCCTAGCCCCCGGGAGCAGACAAAAAAACAGCTCTACCATAAACGCCAAAACATGTCACCGTAATGAATAAATGATATTTATATATTTGCAGTCTTTTGACTCAACTTGTCAAACAAAAATGTAATTTGTGTCATTTGGAAACATCAAAGCGAAGCACATTTTCATTAAATCTGTGTAAAGCAAGCAAGTCCAGACTTTGGTCTGGCAGTCTTATTGCTGTGGAATAAGTCATGATGATAGCATCTGAATTATCAGGTCCTTAGTAAATTCAAATGTTGTGATTTGATCGATCAACTGTTACATGTACCAGAGCTTTTTCACACATATGTCATAGTCAAATCGACCCAGCTTCTGTAGTCAGGAATCTTAGCATAACAATTGATTTGCGGGCCACCTGAGGCTGGTTTGAAGATGTTGGACGTCACCCCGTATGCCTTTCCATCTTCACAGACCAGTGGACCACCAGAGTCTCCCTGCAAGTACATGTATAGTATGCAGTGATTGCGTCAAAAGACAGTTAATTATTATGGTTTGTAATAATCGACATTTGTTGCTCGATTTTATATTAGAAAAATACATACATGGTTCGGTCCAATCCTTCCCTCAGAGCAGTACACATTATCCAGAACACAATGTGGATTGTTAATTAGTGTAACATTGACTTCCATGAGTTTGAAAGACATGTAAGTTATGTTCTCGTCTGTTTTTCCCCAGCCGGAGACTATACATGATTTTGGCTGTAAGCCATCACCCTGGCCTGCGAGAGCAATGGGTTTCACTCCGTCAGTGAACTTTGCCTTGGAGCTCAACTTGAGAGACAGAGATAGATAAAAAAAAATACACATATTAAGCTGGAGTATCAGTTGCAGAGCTCACATTGCCCGTTGTCCAGTAGGCCTACATTTCTTGATTATTAAATTGGAAATTGCTAAAATAGTTGAAATAACTGCAAGAATTTTTTTACCTTCAGTAGCATTATGTCATTTTTATAATTGGTTTCATTGTAGTCTTTGCGTGGAAATGTTTGTTCCACAGGTATAGTCTGTACTCCATTCTTGTCACGGAGATCATGAACTCCCAGTAGGGCTTTGTAGGACCTGAAATGACAAAATTCAGTGCAAAAATGATGGAATTATTTTTTCCTCTGAGAGCTTCTATTCACACAATGTCACAATTTTTAAACCATCATGAAACATATTCAATATCATAGATGTAATTAATTTGAGTATTTTAAAGTCAAGTCTTAATACAGGAGACTAGGTTGTTGTTAGGAAAAATCTTCTGGGGCCCCAGAATTCCTTGCACCATCTCTGTCTGTAGGTTAAAATAAAATGCATCACACTGACCTGCCTTGGCAGTGGGCTGCAGTCATCACAAAATCCTCATTCAGAAGGAAGCCACCGCAGTATTTTATTTTACCACCCTGCATGTGCCGCTCCAAAAGCACCATGTAGGGCCTGCTGTGTGCCACAGCCTCGTGACCTCCAATTATTTTCCCTGTATGAACTGGGAGGAAAATATATAACAATTAGAGTTGCATAACTGATCAAAGACTCACGTGCTGTGGTCTAAAGTGCATCTACAACAACCTGGATGAAAAAGTATGTACACAGCTGTAGAATCTTAGCTTACCTTGACCATCAAGAGTCAGGGCGAGTATCACTAGTACCAGTTCACCGTGGAAGAACATGGCGAGAACACAGTCCAGCTGAGCTACTGAAAGGCAGTGGCTCACATCTCTGACATGTCAGTCTTTAAATGCTTCACTGTATTACGAAAAGAAGGAAGTGTTTGTGTAATTTGCATATGCAAACGACGTGGCTTTGAACCACATTCATAAGGAGGACGTCTCTGTCACCTCCAGAGCACGACAAAAGTTCAATTTATTTTATAGAAGATGAAATGGTTTAGACAATTTAATAGGTATTGTGTATGTGTGGTTTGCATGCACAATATGTGGTAGTATTTATAATATATGTTGGGGGTGACACATCCCCCCAATATTCAAATATGCTCAAAATGCAGCCCCAATATACTGATCAAAAATTTAAAGAGGTAAAAATTTGTAATCCTAGGACAGACACTGCGAATAATCATCAGCAAATGTAATTATGATCATAAATACATGTCACATATTACCATTATTTGTACTGGCGCTAGTATAAGGGTGATGTACTGCAGTTAATTTGTTTTCCCCTTTGTTTTCAACAACATAACAACAGTAATACATTCAGTGTGGAATACCAAGATACAAGCATGTCTTCAATTTTTACCCTACCCCCAAGCCATATAGAACAAAGATGAAAATATACATACACGCACACAGGTGGACATGTACAATTTAGACATACATAAGCAAACAGCACAATAAATCAGAATGTAAACATAAATACACATGCATATTCACACAAACAAATAGATGTGTACATCAGTTATAGTGGTCTATTGCCAATCTACGTTGTAATTAGCCTTTAAGAAATAGTGGAAGATATATATATATGCCACAAGTAGTTGCCATGTCCTGTAAAATTTACCTGTAGAACCATCGAGCGTACACTTTATCTTCTCCAAGAATAGAAACTATGTGTCTCTGCATGTGGTTTGTCCAAGAGGTGTTGCTGTACCCCAGCAGAAGCCATTGCTCGACATCAGCACATCATTTTGCACTGGAACTGTAATTGTGGACATAAATAATACTTTGCTGAAAAGTGTTAGTAATTGCATGGAGTGGAAACCAGCATTTTTAATGAAAACAGGCCAATTTCTGAGTGTTGATTGATCAACATTCACTCATGTTGTTAGCTATTACAGCTCAGTTACCTGCATTTAATTAGCCACACATTAACACAGCAACCAACAAAAGTGCTCACAGGCATATTCGACTTAATTACTTTATATGTGTCAGATAACTCACATGAAATCTGAGGAAAGTCCTATAATATCCTTTAAAGCTGTACTTGCTTATTATAAACAATACCATAAGAAATGTGTTTTCAAAATGAGAATTTTTTTGGTCCCCCTCCAATGTTGAGTCCATGGCTACGACCTTGCATCCTTGACCTCAGGTTAACTTATAATTGTGTGCAAGTGTATAAGAATATAATTCAGACCAGTGTGTAGTGAAGTGTGATATAATTGGTCATTATTTATCCACTAAGTCATTTAGTGGTAACGTTTTACAGCCTTGAATATCTCCATTGGCATTTCATGTTCAAAGCTGTGGCTCTCTCAGAGAAGACTCTGTGTCTGTCAAACAGCCCCAAAGGTAACATTATTCTGATGTTGTCAAGTCATAAGACAATGTATAAAAATAGGATTTGTTTGAAAGTGTGGTTCATGGAACTTGAAGTGAAATGTGAGCCCTAAGCTACCAGAGGAACGAAGAAGTCATTAGGATTCTGTTGGAGGGAAAAGGCGATCAGACGGCAGGTTTTATAAACCAGCATTACAGTTAAAGAATATTTCAGTTCGTCTTTTTTCTTTTAAGCAAGGACCCACTATGATAATTTCTTTATTAGAAAAGTGAATGTGCAACATAAATCAAGCACAATTCACTATGTGTGTTCATAGCTTGTGGGTTGTGCAGACATATTTGTTTCAGTATGGCAAAAATAAAGGAAAATACACTTGTGAGTTACTGACTGCTGTATTTTTGTAACCAACAAGAGGTGAAAAGAAAAGCTGGGTATTAACTCAGAACAATGACTGGATCAAACATGAAGGAAGCTCTGTAAAAAAAAAAAAAAGAAAAGATATGAAGAAACACTTAAAATAATGGCAGCTATTACCCATTCCCCTTCAGTGTAGTCAAGTCGAAAAGTATGCAGCCTGCTGACCACTGAGTACAGATATGTCTGTTACATCACTTCCTCAGTCTAGACGCAACTATGCCCGTCTCATATCTTAGTCACAAACTGTGTTGTAAATGTTTTGAAAGATACACAATAGAGTTTTCATGTGTTGAAGAAGGTGGAAAAAGAGGAGGCGGGGGAGGATGAGAGGAGTGAACAGGTTTTAGGGATGTGAGCTCCTGGAGTCCAGGGCAGTAATGGGAATTACAGGAGGAGACGCAGAGAGGAACTTGCTTGGTAGAACAGGGGCCTTTACGGTTAGCCCCGTCACTTTTATGGGGACCACGGGGCCTGAGAGGACTGGCTGGTTTAGCCATCGGACACAGCAACAAGGAAAGAGGGAATATAATACTATCCATAAAAAACCATCACTCGCAGCGCAAATTATATGTTTATTAAGAGAAAAGGAAAATGACAACAGTAAAAGCCAACAGACAGAAACAGACATTCCTAGAACTGTGATGATAGATCAAACTGAGGGTTTAATGAAATCACATATGGCAACAGAGGTTTATGAGCCATGCTGATGTGACACTGTTCAGCAGTTATCCTGATAGTAGCTGACTCATGTCTGTGCATAACCTTACGCTCACATAACAGTTTTTAACAAATATTGTCCCCTAAGGTTTTTATTCAAGTGGTTACATCATGTTTGTGGACCACCAGACCTTAACTGCAAACTGAACATATCAGAATATTTTATTTCTCTAACTTAATGAAGCAATATGACATCTCAATTCAAACAACATTAACAACTTGCGAAGAAACTGTGTTTGCAAAGTTCAGTTGTATTCATATGTGTGTGTGCGTGCGTGGGTATTTCCAATAAGCAGGAGTTGCTTATACGCTCCTTCTCACTGCAGGATTAAGACTTGCTGAGTGTGTGGTGATACAGTGTTCTGGAGACGCGAGCTGCCAAACATAAGCACTTCCTGTCCGCAAGCAATGATGGGACTGGATTCCAAGACTTCACCTCTGTCAGGAGAATTAAGACTGTTCTAGACAAGAGTAAGACGGCCTATCCAAATGGGCTACACACACACACGCACACTTTTTAGCTAAACCCAACCGAGAACAATTATCAGCTCGGCGTTTGCTGATCTAACAAGATGGTTATGATCTACTTCCAGTGGTGTTTTTGGCCACGTAGCAGAGAAAATGGTGGGACAATGACTACTATGGACAGATGCAAATCCAGAGAAAACTGTGACAGCTTTCGCTTCACAGAGGACACGTAGTGGTTCTGGACACTGTCAACCTTTATTGTCAAGTAGCAATTGAATTACAGACTCAAAACTCGGTAGGAAAATACAGCTGGGGTCATGACATGGGACAGCCAACTCACTAATGGTGCAAACTATGAATTAACGCACAAATGACAATTACTAGCATAAAACATCATGTTCTGAGCAGACAAACCAAAGACAATAACAAAAAGATGACATTTGCGTTATGGAACAGAAAACAGCAAACTTACCAGCAACTACAAACTACTCAGTCCAGTATGCTGGGAAATGTTGGCGTCGCTACTGTACACATTTCACAATTTCACATACTGTAATGCAATTGTTATACACAGTTAAAGACAGCTGATAATACAACTGAGGACACACCTTTTTTTCCTCAACTTCCTGTCATACATCTTTACTTCTTAATTCTATTTGCGCTGTTAATTTGGGTAGCTTTGTTTGCTCTGCTGAAGGACCCCAATTATTCCACGTTGTCCCACTGCTTTTCTGTTTAATAATCCTCCCAGAAAGATACTTGTGATCCTAAAGGTGTGTTCTAGACCAGGTACCATTCTCTTCGAGTAATAAAATATATGGAAGCAAAACTATTTCTTCTCTAACAACCTGGCAGCCATTTTTTTCCTGGAGAACCGCTCTGCAATCATACTGATGTTTTTATCAAGAGTTTGGTTTGTAAGGTAGAATTTATGCTTCTGCGTTGAATCGACATGGTATCTATGGCATAGGCTTTGCGTCGACGCAGAGCCTATGCCATACCCTATGCCATAGCCTGACGTGCACCTCCCCAGAAATGTAATATACGTCATGGCGACGCAGACCTACTGTCTATTTTTGTAAGCTGAAACCATAAATTGTGAAGACAGTAAAGCCTCCCCAAAATAGCATTTTAAGTCTTGTGTGTGATTTATCCTGGCTTCATATGAGCAGAGGAAATCTCTGTTTGTCGCTAGGCTAATTTTTACAATGTAAAATGCCATAGGCTTGTGCTAATAATGTTAGCATTTTATATTTGTTTGGAAAATGTGTTTAGTATAAGATAGTGGTTTTGTCGGGGAACTTTCTGAGTTGTAATTGAGACAAATTTTGTAACATTACCTTTGTTAAATGTTGCTGTCGTCCCTGGTTTCATATGAGAAGAGGAAACTAAGGATAGACCGATACATCAGCCAGCCGATATATCGGGCTGATATTTGAGTTTTTTACTTGTATCGGCATCGGCCGATACGTGCGTGGGTTCGCGGATTTATTTTTCCCTGGCATGATTTACAGACAAGCATCCACGGGCAGCTCTGTGTTGCCGGAAGACCCTGCAGCGCACATGCAGCGAATCCTACTGTGTACAGTAGTTGTTGTTTTATTTATGCTTCAGCTTAAATATTTGTTTATTTTATAAAGACATTACTGGAAGATTTAAGAGCACTGAACTCTTTTTTTTTATTTGAATGTATAATAATAATAATAATATTCTACCTGTTCTACCTCAACTTTCCATCTTGTTTTAGTATTTTTTACTGTTCAATAAATGTTTGTTATTTTAAACTTGAGACCTGTAATATTTGTTATCATTGTGTCATTTTTTTGATGTAAATAGAGGGAGCAAAAGCAGTATCGGCCCCAAATATCGGCTCAAGAA